CTGTCTGTATGTATGTATGTATCTATCTATCTATCTATCTATCTATCTGAGGCGAACATACCTACTCGTGTCTCCTATTTTCCCCACAATAACCCTGTGAAGTGGGTTGGGCTGAGAGAGTGACTGACCCAAAGTCACCCAGCTGGCTTTCCTGCCTAAGGGAGGCCTAGAACTCACAGTCCCCTGGTTTCTAGGCCAGCACCTTAACCACTACACCAAACTGGCTGTAAATGTTACTGCATATACAGACATAAGCATTCCCAAAGAAGAGGTAAGGAAAATTATGGAAAAGGGAGAAGCAATTCCGTTTTTCATTCATAGAGTTGCCAGGTCTTATTGGAGGGGCTTTATAGTGGAGAGTCTTTCTGTTGTAGGGGCTCTGGACCCTCCCAGTGTTTGGTTTACAAACTGCTTTAACACACAACATAGTTTACTTAGCAACTATGCAAACCAAGCCAAAATGGTATGTGAATGATAGCCAAACAACTGTTGCTTAATGAACTATGGTTAAAACAAACCTGATTTAGTGTGATATATTAAACCAACCACTGTTATAAGGTGGCATGAGGAAGTGCTCCACAAAGCAACCAATCTTAGACAAATAAAAGATGTTTTTAATTGCCTAAAGGCTTTTCCAATATAATTTTTCTCAAAAATACAATGAAGTTAACTATACGAGATACTTCCTTTTTAAAAAAAAGTTTCTTCCTTTACAGTAATTGTTCGGATTTCTTTATAGATCTATAAAACGAATAGTTCAAGGGAAAGGTTAAAAAAAGAAGAGCATTGTTCTAAAACATTTCTCCATCTTGATACAAGACAAAACTAGTTCCCCATCTCTTCAATGGAATCCCAGTGTAAATCTCTGATTCTGATTTCTCTTTTGAGTAGCTAAAAGGAAGCTTTTTGTGTGGTGTTATGGTTCTCCTAAATGTGCGGTGGGAGAAATGCTCAGCTTAGAATCTGATTTGTCTCCCTGCAGAGCCAGTTCACAACAATTTATAATACTGAATACCTCACAATCAGTACAGGGAGTCCTTGCTTAACAACCATTTGTTTAACAATGGTTCGAAGTTATAACAGCCTCGGAAAGGGTGCTTTACGGCCCATAAAGCCCTTCCGGCTGTCGTAAAACATCACACTGCCCCCCCCCTCCACAGTCACATGGCCGCATTTCGGGCACTAGCCAATTGGCTCGCATTTACATTTAAAGAATGTGACAACGGATTTTGCAGGATTTATCTAAGTAGTTGCTCTTCCAGCCAGAAATACATATGCACAACACAAATACATTCATACACACAGGGAGAAATATACATACATACCAAGGGCTAGAAGACCCAAAATCAGATGCAAAGAGCCTAGGCCAGACATGTGTTACAGTAACAATGCACAGATTGCAACTGCCCCACACCTACAGAAGTGACCTGTTGCCAACCAACTAGGACTTGCAGATCAGAAAAAGAAGCAAAGGTCTTAAGTTGGGAATATTTTATATGGCTTGAAGGTTACAACTGACATTTGTCCTCCACAAGGACACAGCTCTTCAATAAATTTAGTTTTATTAGCGAAGTTAGAAAAACCATAATTAGAGCAAAAAACCCGCACGATCACGTGATCGCCATGCAATCTTCTCTGCCAGCTTCCCCAGAAAGTCAGTGCGGAAGCTGGCAGGGAAGATTGCAATGGAGGGGAAAAGGGGGAACTGAAATCCTTCTGTGGTCTGCAAGAACAGAGCTCAAATCCTCCATGCATGGAGGTAAGGGGAACCCCCAGGGTGGTTTGGAGGAACAGAGCTCAAATCCTGAAGATCTGAGCTCTGTTTCTCTAGCTCCATGAAGGATTTCCCCTCCATGCACGGAGGGGAGGGGAAACCTTTGGTGGGCTGCAGGAACATTTGAGAGTGAAAGGGCTGCCTGCTGGGAAGATTTCAGCTCCACATAGAGCTGAAATCCTTTAGCAGGCAGCTCTTTCTCTCCGTCCACTTAATCACCCAGGAGATCACTTAACGACCGCAACCAGGAGTGCCTGATTGTGGTCGTTGAGCGAAGCAGTCACATGGGCATCTCGCCTATCGACCACATTGCTCAACGATCGAGATTCCAGTCCCAATTGTGGTTGTTAACAAGGACTACCTGTAAAGTGAATTAAACATACATAATATGACAAAATTCATATAATGTAGTCAAAACCAAGATAAAAGTCGAAGTCAGAATTAAAATTAAAAAAGCTTATGAAACTGATTTGAAGCCATATAGCCCAAATTACATGCAAACAAAAGCTTGCAACTTATTTGCACACAAAACTACAGTTCATTTATTGTGCTTATCTATAAAATTCATTTTGGGGGCTTTTCCCCCTACATGTTTACTAGAATTTGGAACTGACTCTGCAAGATCTTTGGTCAAAATTCTCAGGATACAGACAAGGCAGTTTTTTGTAAAGTTGATCTTTCCAATCCTGCTGCTTCTCAGACTTTTTCAAAATTCTGAAACAGGACTTATCTGAGTTTTGGACAGTGCCAAATACTGTATACAAGTACTTTTTTACTGGAAACATTTAAGCCATGTTTTCCATGGTGCTGGATGGCCATTCTAACGGTATCACATCAGCCCCAAATAACTTGGCACTGAATCCATGAAAATTATATTGCATTACGATGATTAAAAAGAAGTTAGAGAAAGATTATTTGCTCCAATCATTATTCTGATGAGAAACTTTTAGTTATTTAATAGGCCTAAGATAGGCATTACTGTGAAAGCTGCAATTTTCTTAAATGTCATTAATGATGTAAGACCATCAATAATAATTTTGAATGTACACATAAGAATGTATACATAAACACAAACATGTATCACATGTAATTATTGGACTAATAAAGTTGTTTCCATTTGAAGACAAAAGCAGTGACAATTGAAGAATATGCATATTGAATTATAAATATTTCTTCAGAACAATGCCAGAATTGCAATCAATAATATTCCTCACTATGCCAATATTTATAATGCATGGGTTATTCTTCTTTGTTTCAAAACAAATTGATTATAGAGAACAAATAAAGTACTGCTCATACAAGAATATTTGTAAGTAGGCTGTAAATATCTTCTACTAGGAAGACTCATGCATGTATGAAGTGATAAAAAGACTGAAAGATTTTCCCAGAACAGTGAGAAACAGAACTCAAATGAAAAGTAACACTTATGGTCCTGACACATCCTCAAAGGGCTTTCTGGGAAAGCCACATATTTATAAAAATATGTGGGTAAATGCCCTAGACAGAGTATGCTATAAATTTTAATGAAAATCATATTCTCCAGGTAAACTTGATAACAGAAAGGCAAAATATACACATACCTTTTATAAAAGCTATTGTTCTGGCAGTCTTTCCTTTCCAATATTCACACCTTGGTTTCTGGCTTAGCTCTTCCAGGTTCTCTGCACAGTACTTTGTTAAACCTATGTAAAACAAATGTTGCATGATCCAGTTGACAAACCATATAATGTCACAGGTCTTGAACAGGGAGTGACGTATTATGAGATACTGACTTTCTTAACTACCCAAGTCTACTTATCAACAGAGGCATTTACATCTGGGCATTTATTTCAGGTAGGACATTTGCAGAACAGCTCCCAATCTTCTTTAATATATTGCTCTGTCTGAGAATCAGACAGAAGCACACCAAATTCTCTGTACCTACCTCTTGCCCCTGCTTACAAACTGCTTCGTGGCCAAAATTGGGACAAAGTACAGTGGTACCTCTACTTATGAACTTAATCCGTTCCATGACTCTGATCACAAGTCGAGTTGGTCGCAAGTCAAAGTAAATTTTCCCATAAGGTTCAATGTAATTACTGTTAATCCGTTACGGCGTCCGCGGACCACGCGGCAGGGCAGAAAAACGGCCGCAGACCACGTGGAACGGGCAGAAAAATGGCCGCGGACCACGTGGAACGGGTGGAAAATGGCCGCGGACCACGTGGCATGGGCGGAAAAGTGGCCGTGGACCACGTGGAACGGGCGGAAAATGGCCGCGGACCATGTGGAACGGGCAGAAAATGGCCGCGGATCCAGTTCATAAGTCGAGGTGAGTTCGTAAGTAGAGGTAAATTTTTGGGGCCGGAGCTGGTCGTATCTCGAAAAATTCGTAAGTAGGGGCATTCGTAAGTAGAGGTACCACTGTATCTCACACAGCCTAAGTTAAAAGGGAAGTGCTCAGACTGACATACAAAATCTGGTGAATCCTTAAAATTATAATTCAAAATACCATTCATTATAAAAGAATTAAATGAAAATACCCCAGGAACCAATTCACATAATCCTGTAACATCGTTACAAATATATAAAAACACAATAGTATTGTATCAAATCACAGAACAAATCAATCCAAAGTTCTCACTTGAGGTACAAATGACCATGCTCAAATTACCATAATTTGAACACGTTATGCAAAGAACTAGCTCTCTTGAGAAGCACGTAATGCTGGGAAAGGTGGAAGGAAAGGGAAAAAGAGGACAACCAGCAGCAAGTGCATGGACTCAATTATAGCAGCAATAGGTGCAACATTAGAAGACCAGGTTAAAGACATATTATCTATCTATGTGGTCACTAAGAGTTGACATTGACTTGATGGTGCATAATCATTAAATTGTATTAAACCCTATGACGATACCATTGTGATCTATTCTTTAAGGGCAAAGTCAGTAGTATTGTACTAAAATTCCATATAAAAAAAGTAAAACATAAAAATGTACACTGATGGCATGTGGAAAATTATCACCCACATTTCTCACTTCAGTAATCTCAGATAGTAATGAAATGCCAAGGCAAGGGTCCCTATTTGTATAAACCTGCAATAACATACATCATTCCTGAATACTAAGTATTATCAAAACTTAGACTATACCCATCTGAGAATATATCTTGTGAAATCAGTAAGTCTCACTCTTGAATAGACACATACAGAATTGTATTATGAGGGCACAACCACCTGACTGAAGCAAATGTGTGATGGGGGCATAAAATCTATTGATTTTCCCTTTTTGAGTTCATAGGCAGACCTACAGTTTCCTCTTTCTGCTTCCCACTTGTCATCTAAGGCTAATATTTTCTGAAATGCCAACCTCAGAAAGCCTCAAATGTGATGCAGCAGGCTTCTAAGGTCCCCAGTCTTTTGTCATGGCCCTAAGAATTATAACATTGGGGCAACTTATTTTCTCCCACTTAAGTTGAAACAGATGGGGGAGGGAGGAAATAGCAAGCACTGCTCCTTCTTATTTGTAACACACTTGTTTGCAACAGCAAGGTTTTAGGGCTCTTCCAAACGTTCTCAATTACTGTAACTCCAAAAGCAGATATTTGAGTTATTTGCCACAGTATATCAGCAATGATTTCTGACTCCAATTGTTCTGAGTTAGTACCACATGTGAATCAAACTTCTGTGACTTGTAAACTATGATTAATGGGCTAGTTTTGTGAGATTAGCCATTATGTCTTGTTAAAGCAAACCATGGCTTAGTTCAATGTGTGAGTTAAGACTGTGTGGCATTTCAGATTTAAAGGTAAAAAGGTACATCAGAGAATGCAAAGTTAGCACTTGTTTGTAACACCTTAAAGCATCTACTCCAAGCATACAAATCCAGTGTATTTTTATTTATATTGTTGGTCCTATACTGATGGAACTATAATTTAGTATTAGCAATGTTTATAAGGGGAGAGTCATTTGGTTTGATTTAGCTAAGCATTTACTTATCAGTCTAAAAGGAAGGGATACTGTAAATTCTTAAATGTCATTTCTTTCACTGACATAACTGAGGAATTTCATTTATATGTGTAACAGTTGTATGCCACCTACTCACAAGGCTCTAAGCAGTTTATAATATAACAACATAAATACAAAAATAAATAAAAACATACATTAATCTATTACTGCTCCTGTTAAGTTTCACTCTATTCCCCAAAGACTCTGCACCCATTTTAATCTGTAAGCAAAACAAGTCAAAAACTATTGAAAACCTGAGTTTGCTGTTAATAGAAATGATGGTTCTGCAAAACAATGTTCTAACAATCTAGTTAACTTCAAACATTTTGAACTTCACCATTTTAGTATTAGTAAAAATGGACTCATCATTCAAAGTAGCACATACAACTTCTAATGGATGGAGAAGGGGAGACTGATGCAGCAGGAGAAAGAATGGTAGCCGTTATCTAACCAAAACAAGATTTAGGAATTCACTTCAGAGGTTGTAGTATGCATGTTTTGAAAAAATGGTTGGGATATGCAGTTCAAACCCATTTACTTTGAGGTACCTCCACTGAGTTCTGTAATGCTTACTCTGATAAAATATTACATTCGATTCTAACTGCTTCCTCTGTACATTTAAAGAAGTTCTTGCATTCTGGAGATGACTTTTTTCTTTTAATCATCCCTGGTGGCCTGCCCCATAAAAAAAAAAAAGCAGAAATCCAAGATTTATTCTAGCTAAATCTCCTGAGCCCTATTTTTTTTTTTTTTTAAGATTTTAGCTAGCTCTATGTTTAAATGATCCTTTCAATTTCTCAGCATGTCTTTCCCTACTTTGGGAGCTTCATTTCATCCATTTCAAGAGGAAATGAGTAAGAGCTCCATTGTATCTTATTTCTCTACCCACAAACTCAAGTTTAAAAAGAAAATAAAGCTGCACAAAACTTTCTAATGAAACAGCTCTTATCACTAAATGTACATGGTGAAGTAACTACTTAGAGGCAATGACTAATGCTGTCTGCAACTGCTAGGGAAAACAGCCAGATCACCTTTCCAGTTTTTTTTTTTTTTAAATCTTCAGCAGTTGGGTGTGACTTATAATTAGGGGAGTGAAGAAATTTATTTCTGCAATGTTTTGTTTACTAATGTTGGCAAAGTAATCTGTAAGGATCCCTTCATGGCAGAACACTTGAGGTATATAAGCGCAAGAGAGGCACTTAGGATATATCTTTATCTGTTAATACAGTATAGTCTATTACTACTGGTACTACCTTTGCTTTCTTTTGCCACAATTGTTCTATTTGCAGGTCTTTATATTTTGTGATTTTCTCCAGTTTTCTGGAGCTCAGAGTACAGGCTACTATAAACTTGTGTTTTACTCAAAAGTAAATGCTGTTGCTTTCAATATTATTTACTCTCCACTGTATATAGGATTGTAGCCATAAACATGAATTCTGAAAATACACTTTGGTGACACATAAAGAGATCCTACAATGAAAATAACTATTATTATTATGATTGGTTGCACAGTCAGCCAGATGTTTAGACCAAATTTGGCATTTTTGTCCACCTATTCAGTCTTTCCCGAGGACCTTGAATAGGCAGATGTTTAATAATATTAAAGGTATTGTCATAGGATGTAAGCTGTTTCAAGAAAAGTTGCCTTTTGCAATTGACTGATGATGATTTTGTCAATGCTAATGGTGTTCAACTGATGCTCCAGATGTTTCGGAATTGCACCCAAGGAGCCTATTACAGTGGTACCTCGGGTTATGAACGCCTCTACTAACGAACATTTCGGGTTACGACCAGCTTCGGCAGGAAAAATTTCCCTCGGTTTACAAATTCGCCTCGACTTACGAACCGGATCCGCGGCCATTTTCCCTGCTGCCACGTGGTCGCGGCTTCCTGTGGGCGAGGTCACGGTAGCAAGGAGACGTTCAGTGAGG